AATGGGGCAATGTCATTCTTTCTGATGGAGGCATAGAATTCCATTGTGTATATATACCACATTTTCTTGATCCATTCATCTACTGAGGGGCATCTGGGTTGGTTCCATATCTTAGCTATGGTAAATAATGCTGCAATAAACATAGTCGAGCTGGTGGCTTTAGTATGGTCTTGTTTGTGATCATTTGAGCAAATGCCCAAAAGTGGGATTGCTGGGTCATAGGGGAGCTCTATGTGGAGTCTTTTGAGGAACCTCCATGCTGCTTTCCAAAGTGGTTAATGGATTGATCTTTTCTTTGTATTGAAACATCAAAGCCTTTTTGTTGTTTCTTTTGAAACATACAGCACATTATTATTATAGTAATAATTATTATAATTATTATTGTCTATATGGATCCTGCTACAGAGTAGAAAAATAAGAACTTACTTTTATTGGTTAAATATAACTTTGTATCATTGACCAACATTCCCTCATCCCTCCCTAACAGGTACTCTCTCCACTGTTGCAACCACTATTCTACTCTACTCTCAATTTCTTTCTTTCTTTTTTTTTTCTTTTTTTTTGTGGGTCATAGGGCTTGAACTCTGGGCCTGGGCGCTGTCCCTGTGCTCTTCAGTTCAAGACAAGCACTCTACCCCTTGAGCTACAGCGCCACTTCCGGGTTTCTAGTGGTTTTTATTGGAGATAAGAGTCTCACAGACTTTCCTGCCTGGGCTGGCTTTGAACCATGATCCTCAGATCTCACCCTCTTCAGTAGCTAGGATGACAGGCAGGAGCCACAGGCGCCTGGGCTGGCTTTGAACCGTGATCCTCAGATCTCAGCTCTTCAGTAGCTAGGGTGACAGGCGGGAGCCACGGGTGCCTGGGCTGGCTTTGAACCGCGATCCTCAGATCTCAGCTCTTCAGTAGCTAGGATGACAGTGTGAGCACGGGCGCCTGGGCTTGCTTTGAACCGCGATCCTTAGATCTCAGCTCTTCAGTAGCTAGGATGACAGGCGGGAGCCACGGGCGCCCAGCTTCTACTCTCAATTTCTATGCGATAGCTTTTCAGATTCCACATGTACTTGAGATCATGCAGTGTTTAGCTTCCTGCTTAGTTTATTTCCTTTAACCTAATGACCTCTAGCTCCTTCCATGTTGCTACAATTGACAAAATTCCATCCTTTTTTGTTTTGTGCCAGTTGTGGGGCTTGAACTCAGGGAGTGGGTGCTGTCCTTGAGCTTCTTTGGCTCATGTCTAGCACTCTACCACTTGAACCACAGGGTCATGCCTGGCTTTTTCTGAGTAGTTTATTGTAGATAAGAATCTCATGGACTTTCCTGCCCTGACAGGCTTCGAATTGTGATCCTCAGATCTCAGCCTCCTGAGTAACTAGAATTACAGGCCTGAGACACCAGCACCCACCAAGATTTCATCCTTTATTTATTTTTTTGGGTCCGGTCCTGGGGCCTGAACTCTGGGCCTGGGCGCTGTCCCTCAGCTCTTCAGCTCAAGGCTAGCGCTCTACTACTTGAGCCACAGTGCCACTTTTGGCTTTTTTTTTTTTTTTTTGCTTATGTGGTACTGAGGAATCGAACCCAGGACCTCATGCATGCAAAGCAAGCGCTCTACCACTGAGCCACCTTCCCAGTCCTGATTTCATCCTTTTAATGCTGGGTAGTATACATATTAATTTTCTTTATCAATTCATCAGATCATGTTTGATTAGGTTTGTTTTATAGCTTGGGTCTTGTTAATATCATAATAAACATGAGAATATAGATGCATTATCTTTCAAATTATTTTCATAGGTAACTGGGACTGAATTAAATTTATAATGATATATTTTAAATTATTCATTTAATTTATAATAACATTTAAATAATTTTTAAATATTTAAATAATACATTACTTACAATATATTATTAAATAATATTATTTAAATATTTCAGTAATTGCTTATATTATTGATTAAATGTTTAAATGTATAACAATGTTTTAATTTTAATATAAATTGACTTTATAACAATATGTTTTGAGTAAATAAGTTTATCTTAAAAATTAAAAGCTGGGCGCCAGTGGCTCATGCCTGTAATCCTAGCTACTCAGGAGGCTGAGATCTGAGGATCATGGTTCAAAGCCAGCCCAGGCAGGAAAGTCCGTGAGACTCTTATCTCCAATTAACCACTAGAAAAGTGGAAGTGGCGCTGTGGCTCAAGCGGTAGAGTGCTCTCCTTGAGCTGAAGAGCACAGGGACAGCGCCCAGGCCCAGAGTTCAAGCCCCATGACTGACCAAAAAAAAAAAAAAAACTTAAAAGATTTGTATAATTCTCTTTTTTTTTCTTGGTTGTTGTTCTTTGATCTTGAACTTAGTGCTGTCCCTGAGCTCTTTTGCTCAAGGCTAGAACCCTTCCATTTTGAGCCACAGTGCAACTTCTGGTTTTCTGGTGGTTAACTGGAGATGAGTCTCACAGGGACTTTTCAGCCCGGGCTGGCTTTGAACCGTGATCCTCAGATCTCAGCTTCCTGAGTAGCTAGGATTACAGGTGTGAGCTACTGGTGCCCAGCTCTGAATTCTACTCTTATTTAGCCCTATTGGTTGTATTATTTAACCTTTAGTTTCAGAAACTATATCTTCATATATTATGTACCTTATAATGTATATTTATACATTGATCTTTTAAATAGTTCAGGATAGAAAGAAATTTGCATTTCACAAACACAGCAATACTGGCGCTCTTGTTACTTATGTTGCTGCCTTTACCAGGCTTCTTTAAGATTTCTGCCTTGCCTTTACCAGGCTTCTTTAAGATTTCTGCCTAACAGCCTGTCATGTTGACGAGAGACTCTAGTTAGTGCTCCTGTAGGGTCTGCCTATTCACCATGAGCACCTCAGCTTTTGTTTTTCTGAAAATATCTTAGCTTCTCCTTTGCTCTTCAAGGATAGTTTTGGTGGATATAGAATCCCTGCTCATCCTATTTCTCTTTACAACACTATGAACACAGCACGCCACTTCTGACCATCATCTTCAAGATTTGACGAGAAGTTGGCTGTCAATTCCGTGGTGAATCTCTACTGAACAATCACTTTTTTGTGTGTCTATTCTCAAGGCTTGTCAGTTTTTTGTTTCTTTTTTCTGGTGCTGGGGTTTGCTCAAGGCTATCACTCTATCACTTGAGCAACAGTGCCACCTCCAGCCCCCTTTTTTGAGTGGTTTATTGGGGATAAGAGTCTCAAAGAGCTTTTCTGTCTGGGCTGGCTTTGAACCGTGATCCTCATCTCAGCCTCCTGAGTAGCTAGGATTGCAGGCGTGAGCCACCAGCACTGGGCTTGTTGACCTACTTGTTTGTGTGGATCCACATATTTAATCAATTTGGTGTTACTGAGATTCAAACACATGCATGCTCACAAGTTCACACTCTCTTCTCATGGATATTTTGGTCTCCATCTCCACTAGTTCATGTTCCCCAATTCTTCTCTCTCCACATGTAACAAACCTCTGTCCTAATGTCCAAGCCAGTCAAGGCTTTCCTGAGTTCATTGAGTCCTACCCTTCACAATCACTATAGCTGACCATATTCAGTGATGGGGTCGCTGACAGTTTTCCAGAAGGTTGAGCTCTGGGGTTCTCTGGCCTGCTGTCGGGCACTGTTAACAGCAGGGCCGTTCGCGGGCCCGCCCCCCACGCCCGGGTCCCCGTCCCCGCGCCGCCCCGTGTTCTCGTGTCCTGTCCCCACGCCCGTGTCCCGTCCCTGTCCCCGCGTTCTCGTGTCCCCGCGCCCCGCGTTCTCGTGCCCTGTCCCCGAGCCCCGCGTTCTCGTGTCCCCGCGCCCCGCGTTCTCGTGTCCCCGAGCCCCGCGTTCTCGTGTCCCCGCGCCCCGCGTTCTCGTGTCCCCGCGCCCCGTGTTCTCGTGTCCCCGCGCCCCGCGTTCTCGTGTCCCCGCGCCCCGCGTTCTCGTGTCCCCGCGCCCCGTGTTCTCGTGTCCCCGCGCCCCGTGTTCTCGTGTCCCCGCGCCCCGCGTTCTCGTGTCCCCGCGTCCCGTCCCCGCGCCCCGTGTTCT